AGCAATTCTAGTTTATCTCCTTTTGTTAACTGATAATCTCTTTTTGGGGGAAACTCTTTTATGTGTTCTTTTTCTTCTTCTTCTTCTTTTTTATTTTCAGACAGAGTCTTGCTCTGTCTCCCAGGGTAGATGGCAGTGGTGTCATCATATATTGCTCACTGCAACCTCAAACTCCTGGGCTCAAGTGATCTTCCTGTCTTAGCTCCTGAGTAGCTGGGACTACAGAGGCATGCCACAATGCCCAGCTAATTTTTCTGTTTTTAGTAGAGACGGGGTCTCACTCTTGCTTAGGCTGGTTTCGAACTCCTGAGCACAAGCAATCTTTCGGCCTTGGCCTCCCAGATTGCTAGGATCACAGGTGTGAGCCACCACACCTGGCCTTATTTTGAAAATTTATTTTTTTCTTATCAAGTAAAACATGCCTATAGTTTGAAAGTCAATAATAACTAAAAAGCTAATAACAAAGTACATTGGTTCCTGGCCCTGTGACTCTGCCTCTCTCTGTTCCTTGCCCTAGAGGCAAATGCTTGAAATCTTTTGAGAATTCTATGGTATAAAATCAGGTCATACTCAGTTTATCCTACAGCTTAGAAATTGGCTTTATTGCCGGGCGCGGTGGCTCACGCCTGTAATTCTAGCTCTCTGGGAGGCCGAGGCAGGTGGATTGTTTGAGCTCAGGAGTTTGAAACCAGCCTGAGCAAGAGCGAGACCTGTCTCTACCAAAAATAGAAAGAAATTAATTGGACAACTAAAAATATATAGAAAATATTAGCCAGGCATGGTGGCGCATGCCTGTAGTCCCAGCTACTTGGGAGGCTGAGGCAGGAGGATTACTTGAGCCCAGAGTTTGAGGTTGATGTGAGCTAGGATGACGCCACGGCACTCTAGCCCGGGCAACACACTGAAACTCTGTCTCAAAAAAAAAAAAAAAAGAAAAAAGAAATTGGCTTTATTAAGTCTGCCAGGGCAGTTTCCACGTGTCTATCTGCTTTCTAGGTTCCAAGACTTCTATGCTGACACTCCTGGTCCTTGTGGGTTTATGTTTTAAAGAAAAAATCTTTTTACTGTAGATTTTTAGTGGGGCTTTTGGAAGGGACCAAATTATACATGACTGTTCATACAGCAATTTTTTCTTCTCTCTTTCTTTTGCTCTTAATTTCTTTGAAACCAGGAGACCTTTTGATTTCAACTCTTCCTGTACTTTTCTGGGTAGTTCCTTTCATAAAGTATATTCATCAGTTTTTTACTTATGTTTTTCTCTATCTATCTATCTATCTATCTATGTATCTATCATCACCTACCTGCCTATCATCTAGGTATGTATCCATCTAGGAATGGTAGCGGAGGTGATTTATATGCATAATTAGATTCTAATGATCACTATTACATCTTTGAATGTTTCTGGCTACCTGCAGATCAATGAGTGTGTTTGGTGGGGTAGGTTCCATCCTCTATTAAGGCTTGCAGTATAAAATCTCTCTACTTCCTCAGCCTGTTGCACTTCAGCCAGTTTCTCTCAGGTATGAACTGGCAAGGAGGGAGGTCCTAGATGACAGAAATGATAAAGAACACAGTTGCACCTTGGGCTGCATCTCCCAGCTGTGCAGTGTTGTTGACCTGAATCTCTAAAGGGACATTTCCTGCCTCTCCCTTGACCCACCCAAGCCCCCAGGCCATGTTGCTCCATTCAAATTATTTTGTCTATGCCTCTCAGGATTATGACTCTTGATTCAGAAGGAATCATTATGTGTAAAATCCAAGAAGGACTGTATCAGTCCAAACATCACAATATTTGGTACGTGTGCTCTATTTGTGATAAGCAGCTGTGGCAACTTCTGTGTTGCGTTAAAGATGGCGTTTTTGTTTTCCTTCTTTTATTTTTCACTGGCATTGAGATGTTTCAAGTGAGAGGAGTGAAATAAAATATTCTGCCCTCTGTAACCAGAAGTATCTCCTCTTAACTTTTCAAAAGTTGACAATATTATACTATCATGTGTCTTCAGAGGACGTGAATTTGCCTTTAATCACATATCAACACAATTTATCTCCCCCACCTCCTGCCCCCATATGTAGGTTTGCCTTGAAGTCCCAAAGAGCCTAATGTGGCTAGAGTTGGCCTCTGGCTGCTGCAGCAGATTTGTGAAATCTATCCCTGTAGGTGCCCTTTGCAGGCTTGCCTCTTCCTTTTTCTGCTCTTGAGACTAATCTACCAAATAGAGGATCGGGTGTCAAAAGCAGGCTGGGCAACTTTGAGAACCTCATCTCATTGGAAGCACTTACTCTTAAACTGCCACTGTATTGGGATGGGAAATAAGGTATAAAACTCAAAGCACACTGTAGTTATTAAATATTGAACCTAATTTATGAAACAGTGAAATGTTTGCTAGCAATTATGCTAACATACTCAATTTAATTTCACTTATGCCAAAATGCTAATTGGAATTGAGGTCACTCTATGAGGAAAGACAATAATCAATCTGCCTTAGCTGGTCCATTAGTCATTTGCTTGGCAAAAACACAGAAAAGAAACAGGAGAGGAAGGATGAATTTAAGTCTCCTGGTTTTTTGCCAGATTCTGCCTCAGATTACCAAATAGATTTCAGAAATTTTCCATAAAAGGGAGACATTTCAAGGAAAAATAAGGCCTTGTCCTAAAATCACTGCTTATGATCAAAAGGGAAGGTAAGTAAGAAATCAGAGCAGAGTAAGAATTGCACATTTTCCTGATGTAATTCCATTGACCTGTTTCTTTTAAATCCATTTGTTATTTTGTCTTATAAGTAAAACACGATTTACAGGAACAAAATAATAGATTTGTAAGTGGTTCGCAGAAAGAAATAGTTGATAAGAGTGTCATTAGCACACTACCAAATTGAACCAAGTCAAATTTCATTCAAAACAGATGTTTGGTGTTTATCTTTGCAAAAACATGGCCTATCTAAGTAAGGCTATGGGTTTGCTGGCATTTATTATCTTGCTTCATAACTTGCACAAATATTATGAAAATTATTTTGTATTAAGCATGTATTATATAACACATAGTTATAAATATTTATATGATTATATATAATATGAATAAATAATTATACTTATTTATTTATTCTCTGGGCTGGAAGATAGTTATTTTTTCTTTGATGACCGTTTTCCAACCATGAGTATAATTTCCAAGACAGTGTATTTACTTTTAAGAGGAATGAAGCCATACTCCAGAACTACAAACTCTTTCCCAGAGCCACTAAGTCACTTATGTTGTGGGCCAACCAGAAACCACGGCATCCTTGACACCCCTCCCCTCTTCCCCTTTGAACTCCATGCTCGTTCTGGTTAATATCCTGATGGCTTCTCAAACATAACACAGTGAAAACCAAACATGTTATTACTCCCTATTTCTCCTTCCACTTCCTTGTCAAAACGATTCCTTGTTTCATATTTCCTTCTATGTTGAATAACGTGAGTACTTAATCAGTCCTTAAGCCAGAAACTTTAGTACTTATCCTTAGCTCCCCCTTCTTAACTCATCTTCCACATTTATCATGTACTAATCCTACAGATTCTATTTTCCCAATGTCTGTGTTGTCTGTCCCCCACTCTGGACGTCCATGGCTAGTGCCTTGGTTTAGGCCCTTGGCACTTCTCACCTGAATTGCTTTAATAGCCTTCCTCAGATCACCATGCCATCTTTCTGTACCCCACCAATTCAGTCACTACTAGAAGGTCACAAAATATGATATGTCACCCCCCTTACTTAAAATTCTCCCATGGTTATTTATAACCTTCTCCTTCTACATAAAGTTCAAACTGTTTACTTTGGCCCACAAGACCATCATCTTCCAACTCTGGACTACTTCTCTGGCTGCTTCTCCTTCTTTCTCTAAATGCATACTCCAAAATACCGTAACCAAAATGCCATTCTCACAGGTAGGCCCTTGAAGATGTCATAAACATACTTCCCTCAGTTCCTTTGCATATATTGTTGCTCCTGGTGGAGTGTCTTTCCCATCCTTTCTTGTCTAGCTAACTGCTACACATCTTTCAAAACTCGTCTCAAGTATCTCCTCCTCTGGGAAACCTCTCCCCTACCCCCGTCTGATCTGGGACATGTCCATAGCATCCCAGGCCTTCAGTATAGTGTTCACCTCATTGATTATTGATGGAGCTTGTTTTCCCAGGTAGATTGTGAACAACTATAGAAAGGAGACTGTGTTGCTGAATTCTAGCACCCTGCCTTGCATATAGTAAGTGCTTAATACATTTTTGTTGGATTGAATGAGTGAATACCTTAGGAGAGATTTGTCTTAGGTGTTGATTATCTAATTCTTATCTGGTCATTAACATTTCAGAGAGGATTAACCAGGTGGAGGTGAGGGTATTACAGGAGAGAGGAAAGAGGTCCTGGCAGAAGATGTAGAGATGGAAAGGTGTCCGTGGTCAGTCATTCACAAATCATCTTTCACATGTCTGCCAGGGTGGTCCTGCCATTGCTAATACCTACAGATTTTTGCTAAACTGTGTACCCTTAATTTTTTTGATTTAGAAATCTCATACAAAAGATATTATTCAAAACTTTATCCATTTAGTAGTAAATCCCTTTTGTTAGACTCTTGACCATTTAGTAGTAAATTCCTTTTGTTAGACTCTTTAATGTAATTCTCATATATTTTAAATGTTTTTACTCATTATAATTTGACACATCTGGGGATTTTATATGTGGTTCTGAGGGTGTATCTGTGTATAGATGTTGGCATTTGGGCAGCTGAGGCTTTAAAACAAGACTCTGGTCACTTCCAATGGAACCAAACTGGACATTCTGTATAAGGGTCTTTTATAGAAAGTTTAGCTCTCACAGGTAGCATGAGGCTTTCAAAGTTTTATGATACACTTTCTCAACTACCATCTCTCATCAGTTTAGCTTAATGTAAAGACAGTATCTTTTTTCTACAGCATGGAACTTATTTGGGAATGAGACTTCAGTGGCAAAGAATGGACATGCTTCCTCTCACCTGGCTACTCTTCCTCGAAGATCTCCAACTCCTTGAAGGTGTTTGATGTTTATCTCCTGTACTGCAAAATTAGTTCCTGTGGCCGCCTGATCTCGAACTCTTATTTGGTCTTCTAAACTCTGTAAGTTTGAGTTAAAATTCCCATTAATTTTCCATCACACAGATAAGAAAACATCATTTTAAAGTGGGGGTTACAAAATTGAATGCATTTTGTAGTTAGGCTAGCGGTATAAATGAGTGAGAGAAAGTTCTGTCTCAGAAAGACGTGACTTCTGCTCATTTATCTGAGGAAGACAGCAGTGGTTTGGTTCCAACAGATCATTGCCAGGTGGGAAAGATGTCTCAATAGTGTTTCAACAGAAGCTAGAAATCCAGATTTTATATGAAATCTCTCAATTTAAAAATATTGACATCTTACTTGAAATCTTTCAGAAACACTATCTGGGCCAAATGAACATATTTGTTGTGCTAATATGGCCATAGGTTGCCACTTGGCCATCATTGATACAAAAGCTTTTCACAAAAACCTATTTCATGATTGCTGGTAAATTTAGAAAAAGGGATTTTTTTCAACATGGCATCAGGCAAGGTCCTTTACGGATTGGGAACCACAATGAAGGTTAAATAATCAACACAAGCAAATCTGAATTCAAACTGTTTCATACACATGGACTGAAAAAAGTTTGTTGTTCTAAATTTCTTAAATAACACGAGAGATTTATGGCTCATGTGTTCATCTTTTGTCCTTGAGTTTTGTTAGTCATGTCTTCATTGTATTTTGGTGTTCTGGAAATAAAGGTGACTTTCCTATAACACCAGGCTAGTGGTCATGAGAACAGTGGTTTTTAATTTTTTATAACCATTTATAAATATTAATTTAAAAATTGAAAAATTATGCTTGCCCATAGGAAAAAAATTTTATATTTTACTTGGCATTCAAATTCCAGTGTAAAGAGAAGACATATAAGAAATTGATATTTACTGAGAAAAGAGTGAGAGTACTGTATAGACCTTCAAAAAACACTAATTTGTGACTTAGGGAAGCATTCAAGTTTAGTTATTATATTTGACAAAGGCCTAAACTATGTTTAAACTTACATTTATAAATTTTACTAAGTAAAGAAGAATTTTTGTAGTAAATTAATTATAGGAATTCCAAAGACCATATATAGAATCTTGCCCATTTGTAAACTGGCAGATTGAGACCACCTAAGGGCAGACAAAGCCTTAATTGAAGACATAAAAATGTCAAAAACACTAACTAGAGTTTGGTTTTGTCTTTTTGCATGTATTCAGGCATTTTGTTTTCTTTTTTGATGAAGATAGTGATGAAACTTACTCTACTGTATACAGAAATATTTTATAAAACAAGAATATGTCCGTCAGTGTTATGATGGTATATAACCAACTAGATCAATGTAATGTAATGAAAACCTTGGTAAATGTAAGAAAGGAATATGCTCTACATGAGACTCTCAAATTAGTGGGGGAGGAATTTCACAAATGGTGTCGGGTCCGCTGGTTACTCATTCAGAAAATATGGAATTTAGATCCATACCTTGTGCCATATTTCAATATAGATTTTAGGAAAAAATAGATTAAAATACTTTTTAAGTTAAGCCATAAAATACTGGATAATAGAGGAGATTATTGCATCTTTGAATGAGGAACTTTCTAATTCTAAAAATACAGTAATCCCACTCTATCTATGGGGGACTCATTCCAAGACCCCTAGTGGATGCCGAAAACCTCAGATAGTACTGTACTATGTTTTTTCCTATGTACATATACCTATGATAAGGTTTGATTTATTAGTAAGAGATTAACAGTAACTAAAAATAGAACAATTATTAATGTAACAATATTCTGTAATAAAAGCTATTACACATTGTGGCTATAACTTTTGCAGCTTGAGGTGTGACAGCAAAACTAGCATGGATTTCTTTATCCTTCTTCACAAGTTTATGGATAGAAGATTTGTTCTTTCCATAGATCTTAGCGACCTTAGCACATGATTTTTTTTCTTTCCTTGTTAAGTTGAGAACCATTATTTTTTATTTATTGACTTAAAGGAAGCACTTTGCGGCTTCTCTTTGGCATATCAAAATTGCCGGCATCACTACTCTTGTGATTTGGGGTCATTATTAAGTAAAATAAGGGTTCCTTAAACACAAGCACTGGGATACCTCACCTTAACAGCCAATCGATCTGATAACTGAGTGGCGGCTAAGTGACTAATGGGCAGGAAGTGTGCACATGCTGGACAAAGGGATCATCCACGTCCCCGGTGGGGTGGAATAGGACCATGCGAGATTTCATTATGCTACTCAGAGCAGCATGCAACTAAAAACTTATGAATTACTCATTTCTGGAATTTTCCATTTAGTATTTTTGAACCCGGATTGACTGTGGGTAACTTAAATCGCAGAATTCGAAACCACAGATAAGGGGGGGTCTACTGTAATGAAAGAAATCCATAAAGCAAAATATTTAAGTATTTAACCTTATATAAAACTAGTAAAAACATTGTAAATGCAGTTAAAATATAAAAAGAACACTGGAAAACATTTATAACAAATGTTATTGCCAAGGGTTTCAGTGATGTGCTGTAACCAGCATGTACTTGTCTATGAGAGCTGATTGTATGCCTCTTCACATCTTTGTGTTCAGTGTCATCATGTTGGTTGTTTGAAATCAGAGTGGGAGTATTTACATCATGGAAATTGGTAAAGACTACAAACCAGATTTTTTCCCTCAGAAAAGAATTGATTGCTGATTGTTAAACATTTACCAACATACCACTGGTTATTAACCTTAATATGTGAAAGAGCTCATCAAATCAATAAGAATTTAAAAGTTCTAACACCCCAAAAGATAAATTAACAAAAGACATGAACATATCATTGGCAGAGGAAATTAAATTGTCACTTTAAATAGTCACTTTTAAAAAGTGGATTCAACGCCTTTGTTAAGGAAAAAAAAAATCTCATTTCTAATTCCTGTACTATCAAATTAGCAGAGATTAAAACAATAAATCTCAATGCTGGCATAGACACAGTGAAAAAAGCACTCTTAAATAATGCTAATGGAAGTGTAAATTAGTATAAACTTTCTGGAAACCAATTTGGCAACATGTATCAAGAGCTTTCACAGTGTTCATATCCTGGTAATTCCACTTCTAAGAATAGCTACTATGGAAATAATCCAATTGCAGACATGTATTTATGCACAAAGATATTTCAACATTAAGAGAATAATTAAGTAAATCATGGTATATGAACCATGCAAAGAGCTTTTAATGATATATGATAGAGTTTATGATATAATTTTATATTTAAAATCGTGTTTACAAACATAGTCTCAGCCTCCTAAATGGCATACTTAGAAGGGACAATAGGGAGATTCCTCTAGGTGTGTGTAGAGATTGCCATTTGGTGGTAGAATTGCGAGACATTTTTTCCCCCAAGTTTTAAAATTTTTTCCTGAACTTTCAAAATAACTACAATGAACAGTATTGCTTTTATAAATTGAGGAAAAAACTTACAATAAAGCAATATTATACATAAAATTTTCTCTTTTTGAGTTAAAGCAAATTAATTTTAAATCTTGTAAATTATCTGCCTGCTTAAGAAAAAAAGGAACCATTTGATCTTTAAAAGAAATAAGCAACTTAACTGCTGACATTATGGTAGATTAAAAAAAATTTTTTTTTCATTCCTTTTAAGGACCTGAGTCAAGCTTTAGCTCATACTTGAATCTATCTTGCTAGCCAATTTGCAAATGGGCTGACTTGGTGAATGAGTTTAGGTTCTTTTAAAATACTTTAATAGCATCCATTTCTCTATGAAGTGCTTATAATTATTTACTAAAGGTAGTCCAGTAGTCTCTTCTTCATAACATTTTAACCATGTTATGACTTTAACATATCTTCTCATTCAGTTTTCCATACAATCAGACCAGTCCTCCTTATTTTCTCTATATATGCCAAACAAATATTACAAATATTTTGAGGTTTTGACTTTGTCTTTTTTTAAAAAATGTTTTGGATTTTTTTAGAGCTAATCTAAAATAATCAATTATTATAGGAAAAGAAATATTCAACAAGACTTTTAGAGATCTGGAAACTTTTTTCCTCTTGAATATTGAGTATTTTATAAGGGTATATTTGATAAGTATTGAAATAAAGAAATTAAAGTATATGTCCAGATGGATCTTGACAAATGTAATAAACTATATAACAACCACTTAGATCAAAATATAGAACATTCTTAGGAACAGTTCGATGTTCTGTTTTTCAATTACCAAAAAGTTGTGACTCCTAAATTGCGGTCTTACTTTAGTGCTATGCTATACTTACTTGATTTTCCAGTCATTTTAAAAGGCACAGAGCTGCTTGATTCTGGTCACTTTCATATTTTATTATGCTTAGAAATACCTTTAATCACTTTGAGAAGTGGCATTAACATTTTAGGTACTGGGGTCAATTCAATATGTGCTAAATACCAATAAAGTGCCTTTTAAAAGTTTGCTAAGAGTTTTTAACTTTCCACTCTCTCTCAAATGTATTACGGGGTCTGCTAGACACTACAGATCGAAAATAAATTAATAAATTAATAAGTATTCTTGCTCTTAAATACAAATTCATGAAGAAGTTATCACGGGGTCAATCCCATGGTTTTAATCAAATCAGCAGAAAGGGACACGTATCATGGGAGGGCATGATTATCAATTCTCATGATAATTCCACAAATTTTTAGCCGGTTTCCTAAAGTGTATTCTCTGAAGCCCCTGCTCAGATTTATCATGCACATTAGCACTTTAAAAATTCTGAAAGACCTGTAATACAAACCTGTTTGCCTTGATTTAGACGAAGAATTTTCTTTTCTCTATAGTTTCTTTAATACCTTAAAAATCATTTATTCATTTACTCATCTATTCAAGAAATATTTAAAGTGCTGTCTGTAACAACACTGTCATCTGGTATGGGATTTAGCATGAACAAAACAAAGTCTTGCGCTTATGGAGATTATATTTTAGAAGGAGAAAACAATCACCAAATATAGACCATGGTAGTTTGCAATGTGGGCTATGTGATAAAAAATAAAGTAGGCTTTAAGGGCGACTGAAACTGTCAGGGTGGGGAGGGGTGCTATTTTATAAAGTGAGAGGAAATCCTGCCTTACAAGGTCATATTTGAGCAGAGGCCTCAAGGAAGTGAAGAACGTTTCCTAGGAATATCTAGGGGAAGATGATCCAGTCAGAGCGAATTGCAAGTGTAAGGGCCCTGAGGCCAGAGAGTGTTTGGAATCTTCTAGGAACAGCTAGGAGGCTGGAGTGACCAGGATGAAGGAAAGAAGGGTAGGATATGGGGTCAGAGAAATTGCTGGCATCAGAATATGATGACCAATTACAGCATTACCAATGCATTATGAAAACCTCTATTTGAAATGATTACCTTAATGGAATCTTGGAGATTTAGGGTAACATAAGCACCTTAGCACATTGTGTGACATAATGTTAAACAGTTGTCTTTGCTGTCACAAATAAATATTTTTTTAGTAGAAGTTCATTTCTTTTACTTTTTGGCATAAATGGGCAGCTGAAAACTTGAACTGTTTCCCTCTTGGGCAACCAAAATATAATCATTTAAACTTAAACAATACTGACACATTTCTGTACTTGAAAAATGGCGTTGGTGGTTGATAATCTTTGTCAAGCAGTGATGCCAATATATAGGAAACAGAGAACTACCTCAATGTTTTGGCTGAGTTTTTTGACGATGCTGGTGATGGTCTGGATGTGGCTTTCCAGTAACTTCCTGGCAAGCGATTCCTCTTTTCGAAAGCCCTGAGCTCCCTGGAGGCAGGCAGAGATGTCCTCCTTGATGCGGAAGGCTTGTTCCAGGAGGAAAGCTATGGTACGCTCCTGGCTGTTCAGTCTGTCTTCTAGCTGACTTCTCTGGGTGTTTGGGATGACAGGAAGAAAAGGATGACTCCTGGTCAGGAAAAGGAAACACGAAGGGTGTTACAAGAATGAGCTGGAGGAGCCGGAAACCAGAACTTGAATCCTCACGTCTACTCCTTTGTTTTCTCCCCTGTGAGAAGTTTGGTAGGACTTTAGGCACCTGCGTGGTTAGAATCTTGGTGTATGTCTCATCTAAGAAGCAGATCTGACTTACGCCTTGATCTTGCATCATGTGTTTTTCATGTTTCAGAGCAAATTGGTGGTGGTTGGAAAAGGGTAGGGGGATTCATGAAAGAAGATACTAGAAGCCTTCTTCCAAGACTTACGCCTTCATATAACTCTTATATAAACTACTTTAACCTAGAAAAAATTCTAAGTTCTTACATCTGTAAAAATGTCAAATCTGTAAAAATGCCAAAGTGACTTTGTTAGAGAGTTTCCCAAAGTGTGTGTCTTGGAATAACAGTCAGTAAGATTGGCCACCAGAAAAGAATTCTATGGTTGAATAAATTTAGAACATGTTGCATACAAGATCCCTCCCTTGGTGATTCACATTGTGTAATATCTAGCAGCATCATTCAAATTTTACAGATGAGAAAACAGTTTATGGACAGTGCCAATCGTAATCCTGAAAGACATAATCCCAAACATTGAAATCCCTAAAGATCAAAATCCCTCATGTCTAAAATCCCTAATGTTTAAAATTCCTAAAATCATGATCACGAAAGATTAAAATTCCGAAGGCCAAATTCCGGGGAAGGGATTAGTGCATTTTCAGTTGTACAAAGGAGAGTTGCATCATGTTAGGTGGAGCTATACCTTGCTATTGTCTTTATTTGGAAATTAAGTATGGTTTATGGAGATGTGTATGGGTGCCAAGTTGACAAGGGCTGAATATGTGGACTTAACTTTAGGTGTCATCTTGACTGGATTAAGGAATACCTAGAAACGTGGGAAAGCATTATTTTGAGTGTGTTTGTGAGGGTGTTTCCAGAGATTAGTGTGTGAATCTGAGTGGACTAAGTGGAGGAAGATCTGCTCTCAATGTTTTATGTGTTTTGATGATCATAGAAGAGAAAACACAGGTGAAAAATACAAGAAATTGACCCTGTCACATTATTCAATCACGTATGACTCCTGTCCCTTCACACATAGCATCATGCTTGCCTTTGAAAAACGCCCTTGGTCAGAGAATACAAAGAATTCGACAAGCTCAGCAACCTTCTGCACCAAAGACACTTGTTGAAGTAGATGTTCCTCCAGTGTTACAAAACACATTGATGGTGAAGTATTCTTGGTTAGGGATTTGACTGTCAAAGAAGATAGACTTCTTACAGTCACCACTAAATCTGATGACAAACTAGCACATGCTTCACTTTGGCTAATGAATGGATGGTACTTTCAAAATTGTCCCCACTATTTTTTATCAACTATATAAAATTCCTACCCTTGTTGGATCTGAAGATTCTAGAACTTATCTACTCATTTAGGTATTAATAACAGGAAAAAGTGAAGTACTTTATAAATATTTATTTGAAGATTTGGTGAATTTTGCAAAAGAAAATGGATTTCAATTGAATGTCCAAACCATAATAATAGATTTGGAATTGTATGTGATCAGGGTTTCTAAAAGTGAATTTCCAGGTGTTACCAATAAAGTTTGTTTTTTTTTCATTCAGCCCAATGCATTTGGAGGAAAATTCAGATGAGTGGATTGGCCATATGGCCATATGGCAATGATGAAAATTTGGTGTAAAAATACATGATTTGTTTGTACTGGTAGTCCTTCTAGTGGATGACATTTCAGGAACTTTTAGTGAATTAAAGCCACATTTGCCTGAAGAAGCTGGTGAAATTACTGACTGGTTAAAAATAATTATGTGCACAGTAGGATAAGAAGACATGCAATGATGTTGTGCTTTTCAATCAGCAGTATTGTTTCCATATATGAGTGTATTCAGAATGGGTTTCCACATACCCAAAACAACACAGAAACATGACACAGAAGATAGAAAAATTTAATAGGAAGTGCTCATGTCGGTGTACATGGAATCATAGAAGAATTTCAAAAAGAGCAGTGCCATGTAGAAAATGAATGTGCATGTGTTCTCCAAGGGGAGCCATGCCCTAAAAGAAAAAAAAGCAGCTATTTATAGTCATGCAAGACTTCAAAATATAGTTAATGATCATGAAAGTCAGCCAGCTATTATGGACTACCTCCATGCAATTGCCCATAATCCATCCCTGTAATACACTTTCTCATATGTCAAATTTTCTTCTTAGTTTTTTTTTTTTAGGTTTTTTCCTCACTATTTTAAATTGTCAGCATTATTATTATTTTTACAATTTGCAATGCTATGTATTTTATCTTCACATCATTTGTCAAGACTTTTAGAGAGTTCTAGTTCATTTTATGCTTTTATTTGCAAATTTGATCCAGGAAAGTATGTTATCACAATATTGACTTTGTAAGTATTGTGCATGTATGTAAAAACATTGAAACTTCCTCAATAAATGAGGATGTCCTTTTTTGTATATCTGCATTTGTGAACAGTAAAATTTCTTGAGATCTCGGCTCTTTGGGGGACTGCATAGGTGGTGGTGACCCAATGAGGTCCCTCATGGTATTTCAGGTGACTGCAGTTATAAAGCTGGGTGCACACAATTACCAACCATGGTGATATATGCATTTATATATTTTGAATTTTGACCTATTTAAGAATACAGTTTATTCGCTCATAACTGTTATACCTTTGTAACTATCACTAATATACCTGAGTGTTTATGCTTGCAAAAATATGTATGTTATTATTGTCTATTGTGTAGACTATGAAGTATTCTGTCATGTTTTTATTTGTATTTTTTTTTTAATTTTTGATTTTTTTAGAGATAGGGTCTCGCTCTGTCACCCAGGCTGGGGTACAGTGGCATCATAATAGCTCACTGCAACCACAAACTCTTGGGCTCAAGTGATCCTCCTGCCTCAGCCTCCTAGGTAGTTGGGACTAAAGTGTGCTACTGTGCCTGGCTAATTTTCTTATTTTTTGTAGAGATGGGTCTCGCTAAATGTTGCTCAGTCTGGTCTCAAGCTCCTGGCCTCAAGTGATCCTCCTGCGTTGGCCTCTCAGAGTGCTGGGATTACAGGTGTGAGCCACTGCACGTGGACTTCAGTTGTGTTTTTAAGTTTCTTAAATAAATTTCCTTTTTAAAAATGTAAATAGATGTTTTTTAAAAATTTTATATTATTTTTTCCAGAATTATATTTTGAGGATTTTGATCTTTCAGGATTTCAACACTCAAGATTATGGTGATTAGGATTGCATCTTTCTGGATTATGGCCAAAACCGATTCATGGAGTTTTTAACTGGTCCTAGGTCATACAAAGCCCACATGCTAAAGCACTTGGTTATGTTGTCCCCAAGTACAGGTCACTTCCAAAACCCTTGCGTGCTATGATTTCTGACTTCATACCAAGTCACATTTTGTATACATAAGCATGACAATATTCCATTAAATCTATGTTATTGAGAGTTAGTTTACTTTAAATTTGTCTGTTACGCTATTAAATTTCTTGGGAACTTCTTATATGTCTTATGACTCAATGGAAGTGGCTTTGGGTTTTCTTTAATCTTATCTGTTTAATGTATTGAGCTTCTGCGTGAGTTTTTATTTGAAGAAATGTTTCAATGTCTCAGAACTATTTATTTGGCAGAGCCTAGGATTATACCTAGGTAATCTGCAACCTAGCCTAGGAGCTTTCTATGATGCCAACTCTGAATGGTAGCAAAGTATTTTGTGAATATTGCTAGAAAGAGAAGGCAGCCTAGGAAAAGGGGATTTTGTCTTTGTTAGGAACTAGGAATAAAATAATACAACAGACAAAGCCTCTGTCCTCTAGGAAATACCTGTTTATATATATTTATGTAGATGTATACATATACAGTATGTATCTTTTAAAAATGACTGGTATGTATGTTGGATCATAAAAAGTCAAGGCCAAATAGTTCACACTCATTCCCATTGCATGATCCAGAATAACTATTTGCTTTGGACTAATGGTAACAAATTTTCTTGGAAGTGAAAATGTCCTGAGAACAGCAGATTTTGGGGCCAGATTGTGAATATTAGCATTTTCTGAAGACTACAAGTATCACCTAGGGTTGTATTTAGCTGCGTGTGTCAGAAACCCAAAGAGAGTGACTTGAAAAAGGAGTGTTTATTTGGCTTGTGTAACAAGAAGTCTAGAGGTAAATGGTCCAGGGCTACTGTAGCTGACTAAGGAAGTCACCAAATGCCCAGGCTCCTTCTGGCTTCCCAGCCCACTCTCAGTGTTCGATAATCACCCTCGGGGTCTCAAGATTGTTGTTCCATCCACCTTGAAGTATCGTGTCCCCATTCCAGATAGAAAAGACAGATGTCAAAGAATAAAATCCGTGTGCCAGTGGAGTTTGTTCCCATCCCTCCTTTTTAAAATCGAGAAAACAGCTTTTCTAAAAGACACACCATGACACATTTGTCTGTATTTCATTGGCTGAAACTGTACCATATGGTCACCTCTTGTAACTTCTTTTTTAAAAAACTGGGCACTATTGCAGCCTTAAGCAAAATTGGGACTTTTATTAGCAAAGAAGGAGGGAATGTGTACTAGGTTGGTTACCAGTGGTATTTGCCACATGCTATGCTATTTTTCTCCTTTTTTTTTAATTTGGACCTAGGTTACCTATGACTTGGTTATATTGTCACAGGTAACACTGTGTCACAGGTGACACAGAGTCTCACTCTGTTACCCAGGCTAGAGTGCAGTGGCATCATGATAGTTTACTGCAACCTAAACTCCTGGGCTCAAGTGATCCTCCTGCCTCAGCCTCCTGAGTAGCTGGGACTACAGGCATGTGCCACCATGCCTGGATGATTTTTACATTTTTTTGTAGAGATGGGGTCTCACTCTGTTGCTCAGGCTGGTCTCAAACTCCCAGCCTAAAGTGATCCTTCCACCTTGGCTTCCCAGTGTGTTGGGATGACAGGGGTGAG